ATTTTAGTCAGCATGGATGCATTATCAAACGTGAACATAAAGACATTTATAATGGTATAAAAGATTTCTATTTCAAATAAATGCTGTTTTTTAAACTTTCTATTCATCAAAGAATCCTGAAAAATGTCACTGTTTCCACAAAAATATGAAGCAGCACAACTGTTTTCAATATGATAATCAGAAATGTTTCTTGAGGAGCAAATCAGCATATTAGAATGATTTCTGAATAATCACGTGACACTGAAGACTGGAGTAATGATGCTGAAAATTCAGCTTTTGTTTGATCACAGGAATAAATTATATTTTTAAAAAATATTTCAATAGAAATATTTTAGGTTATTTTAAATTGTAATAATATTTCAAACTTTTTACTGTTTTTACTGTATTTTTAATAAAATAAATGCAGCCTTGGTGAGATAGAGAACCATCGCCATGGAGATCTACCGCGGCTTAGATTGTATAATTACTTTCGTTTGCATTCATGGAAAATGCCACCAGCATCACTGCTGTCATAGAGATGTGGTTACAATGTCGGAAAATAAAACTTTTGGACCATGAGCTTCATAATACAGTCCAGGATAAAGGATTTGTTAAAACCGTTGCTCCTACTGAACGGATTATGCTTTGAAATAATAGTTACATTGTGACGAAATTCTCAAAGCCCAGGCTGAACCAAAAGCTCATCTGACATCCTGAAAACTTGAGGACAATTTAAAACCCAAGGAGACCCACAAGACCTCGCGTCTAACCAGTCAATAAATCCCCTTCATAGTGTCTGACAGAGGCGGAATGCAGTCGATATCCCTCTACGCCGATGGACGGAGTGTTATCCTGATGGAGATTCTGTCTCATCTCCTCATCACTGTTCTCTGACCTTTGTGTGTGGATGGCTTTCGTCCCCGACTAATGAATGTCTAACACTCTGTTCCCAAACCTAGTGATCTGCCTACATACACAGCATTTTAAGCAACTGGCAGTTGAGCTCCCCTTGCAAAGGCAGTTCCAAATTAGGCCGTTTTATAAAATACAACCACACTGCATTGTCCTTATTGGTAGCACCCAAGTTGTTACAATTACTGTTTAAATGAATGGTTCACCCAAAAATGGAAATTTGCTGAAAATGTACTCAGCCTCAGTCCATCAAAGATGTAGATGAGTTAGTTTCTTCATGGGAACAGATTTGGAGAAATGTAGCATTACATCACTTGCTCACCAATGGATCCTCTGCAGTGAATGGGTGCCGTCAGAATGAGAGTCCAAACATATGGACTCTCATATCTCTTAAATGCATATTTCTCTTCTGATCCAGATGAGATGACTTTTTCACTGGAGGAAGCAATACTATGAATTATGGACTGTTGTTTATAGCCGGAAAACAATGGTTTGAAGTCAAAACCATGGATTGATTTCTTACAAACACTCAGCTTTTCACTTCACAAGATGTTAATTGATGGAGTGGAGTCGTGTGAATTACTTGTGGATTATTGTGATGTTTTTATCAGCTGTTTGGACTCTCATTCTGACGGCACCCATTCACTGCAGAGGATCCATTGGTGAGCAAGTGATGTAATGCTACATTTCTCCAAATCTGTTCCCATGAACAAACAAACTCATCTACATCTTGGATGGACTGAGGGTGACTACATATTCAGCAAATTTTCATTTTTGTGGTGAACCATTCCTTTAATTGGAATCAATCGATTGGAAGCAATCAGTCACTCTATTTCAGTAAGGATGCTGGCTATTTAGAGAGCAGGCAGCTCACTAGGTTTTGGAACAGAATTTAAATGTATTAAAGATTGAAGTACAGAATTCAAAATTTTAAAGTTGTAACATTTTCAAGTTACAATGTGATTCTAAAAACAAAAGCAAGAGGGAAAATGACTAAAGGGGCTGTTCATACCAAACATTCTCGTATTACATCCACGCCATTTTTTAGTTGGTCGATTTACATAAACATGCATTTGTAATACGCTGTGTCAAATTAAAAGTTACATTTTTTAACAAACGTATCACATTCGGTTCCCTTGGGCCATTTTCAAATGTATGCGAATGGCTCCTATTGCTACGTTCATGTTACATTGAAATTACCATAATCACTAAATGAGATTCTACTCAGAATTGTTCAGTTTCTCAGAATCAGGAATTATTCATTTCTATGGCAACACTCAATGCCAAAATTACTGAAAATTGCTGCATAACACTAGAATGGCTGCATGTGCAGCTTTATTCATGATGAAAGTAAAAAATATATATATAATAATCACTATATTCATTTACCTCCATATTCTCAGTGAATGTGCATCTGGAAACATCAGCAATAATAAAACAATAGTAAAGATAATATATGTGTAGAGGTACAGCAGCTGTTGTTTGTCTGCAATTGTACTTAGTTTTCATTGAATTGTGAGTTTCTGACTTGTAATTTGTGAGTTCGACAAAAACATGGGCAGGTTTTAGAAACTGGTAATTATGGTAATTTCACCATGACATGAACGTCCCATTAATGCAATATGGATGCAACCGCTAATTTCCTCACAAACACATATTACTGAATTTAAAGTGTAAATGTTTGATGTTCTCACAGACATTGTAGCTTCAATGTTTAGATTCATTATGATCAATGAATTCAAAAACACTGACATATTTTTATATCAGTTTTTATATCAGATAAACACTTTTTGCTTCCTAGAGTACTTAACACACACACTGGTTCAAACGCACGTCTTCCGCTCCGTATCTGTCCTGTACTCATGTCCAGACTTCAAAATATACAGTATATATAAATATATATATATAGAATAACAAATATTATAATCAATGTATTTTTATACGCCAATATTCTGATAGTCTAAGACTACATTTCCCACAATGCACTTATTCTTCCTCCTTCCTTGTTTGTAAATGAGATATTTAAGACGACGTCAATAAAATTGTGTATTTTAATGCAATAAATGTTTCTGGTCTGGTGATATAGTTAACCTCAAAATACCAGATCTGGCCTTTGTTTCCATCATTAACTAAGTATGAGCAATATTAATAGTGACGTTTGACTTAAAAGAGAGAAAAGGACAATGAATGGAGAGGATCTAGTGGTTTAAACTCACGATGAGAGTGTGTTCTCGGCCCATCGTGATGACTGTGCAGTTTATCGTCCTCAGCAGAGACGACACAATGTCCTGAATGTGCTGAAATGTGTCTCCCTGGAAAAGAAAGAGACAAAAAGCTTGTTATTTGTATTCTAGCGCTGCATTCAAACGGTCATAGATTTTCTCATTAAGTCGCCCAATTAAAACACAACCACACAGAATGACTCTTGAGTTTCTCACCTCAGCGTTCCCTGTTTATAAGCTATATCTTAGATGAATAGCAGACACGAAATGTAAATTCTATCATCATAACCAGATATTTCAATACAAAAGGAGGTGAATGGCGACCACATGTGTTATGCAAGATTTTTAAGGTTTTCAGTAAATAGCTATTTAAATTTGAATTGATTTCTTACATAAACATAAAATAAGGTTTTGATTACATACACAAGTCAGTCACAAGTCATGATATTTTCATGCTGTTTTTTGTCATTTGTGGAGCTTTACAGCTCTTGGTCAATATTCACTTTCATTTGCATAGAAAAGAGCAGTGTGAAACAATATGATGAGGTAATGCTTACAGAATTTAGGTTTTTTTTTTGGTTAACCATTCCTTTAACCGTGCAAATGAAGAGTGAAATGTGTGTTTGTGTTTTAGCTGCAGGTCTGGTCTCTCTGGCTCCATCACACAAATTTTTTGTTTTAATGTATTGATTAGACTGAAGAGATCTGGAACAGGCTTGGCGTGAGTGTGTGTGTGTGTGATGTCAACTAAAGACCTTTCATTTCTTTTTAAAGTGCCCCTATTATGCCATTTTTAAGGTTGCTAATATTGTTTTATGAGTCTCCTAAAACAGGTTTACATGCATGCAAGGTCAAAAAACATGTTAGTTTTCTCAAAAAATAGATTTAATTTTACCTCATTTCTAAATTATTCGTAAACGACTCGTGCGAAGCAATTCAAAGAATCAGTCTCTCTAAACCCCTCCTTTCCGTGAGCCCTCACTGCTGTGATTGGTCAGATGGTGCAGTCCTTCGTGATTGGTCCAGAGCCGTAGAGATATTGGCTCTGGATTAGTCTACCGCACACAGCGCGTGTCAGAAACGAAACGCCCACTGCCATGACGGAATGACAGCCCTGGAGACTTGTCAGTACATAGAAAAGATGGTATGGATTGTACCTTACCAATTCGAGCCGGATTCTGATGATGAAACGGTTGAACTGGCTGATCGACAAGAGACTGATTCGCAAGCACAACTGGAGCAGGACGTTTCTCAGTGGGAAGTGTCAAGTGTTAACAAGTTTGTGGTAATT